TCCCGCATTTTCTTTTTCCTTTTTACCAAGGAATCAGCCGCTTCTTTCCTTTCTCTCTCGCGCTGCTCTTCTACCTCTTTATGTTCCTTCAAAGCCTCGATCTTCGCCAATTCAACCAAAACATGTTCTTCGTTTGCAACATCTACCTCTAACTTAAGACTCTCCAGCAACTTCAAATTCTCTTCCATTTTAATCCCTAACTCCATTACTTCCTTCTCCGCCACATCTTTCTCTCTCAAAACATAAGCTACATCAAGCTTCAGCTTACTCAGTTCTTGCTTCACATCCTCTAATTCTCTAATGACTAACGCGTACCTGCCAATTCCATCAGTCTTTGACTCCTTCATAGCTTCGTTATCGATTTTCCGAGACTTAAACCTGCTATTCGACTCCTCTATAAGCAAAGTTAGCTCCTTTACTGTCTTCTTCGCCTTGCTCAGTTCCACTTCTGCTTTCGCCTTTGCAAACTCAGAAGCTCTTCTGCTCTCTCTGTACATTCCAAGTTCCCTCCCTGACTTATGCAAGTCCTCCACAACCGAAGGAGACGACTGTTAAGAAAACAGAGAAGAGAACAATCATTCATCCACTGTATACAAAATTTAATCTTAAAAATCAAAACTTTAGCAATCTGACTACATTCTTTGCACAAACTATGAAAGAAAGTGACAATCTTTATCTTTGGTTTCACCTTAACGAGTGGCAAATCAAGCTGAGAAGGGACGGCTCTTTGTCCGTACATGTTAATGGCGGCTTTAACTGATCCGATTCTTCTTCCTCTGCCTAAATTCCCTTCGGCCATTAATCAGTCCCTTCTGGGTTTCTACTCAAACATACCAGAATTCAGCCACAATCTCACACTGACTAATAGAAAAGAAACCCAGAAAATTTTCTTAAAATTTGGCTGAGCGATGAACTTACATGTGAGTGAGAGATGTTGGAGGAAGAGAAAGATTGTTGTTACGTGTAGCAGAGAATATATGGAAGAGAAAGATGACTGGCTCATATCGAGTCTGCTTTCTTATCATTTTTTTTTTGGATTTTTGGTTCTCTCTGGCAAAATTGGAGAGAATTTATGAAACTTTGTTTCTTCTGGAGATTGATTTGAGGCCAAGTATACCACAAGTAGCACAAACATGTATATGACATGTAAAAAAAACCGAAATAGTTTTAGAAACAAAATTGAGAATACGCAGATATGGTTAAATATGTTGGGCCTATTTTGCTATGAGAGCAACTCCAATGGTTCAAGATATAATATTATTTTGTTTGAACTAATTTATTTTGTGTAATTAAATTTAAGCTACAAAGTTTTTCAAATTAATTATACGACAACATTTATCAAATGAGTTTTTCAAAAAAATTGGAGTGTTTCTTATTTGAAAAACCCATGTTACTTTCTCTTACTTTTGTCTTTTTATATTCATCTTTTATTGTGAAAAAACTCAGTTAGAGACCACCATGAGAGGTGGTGTTAGATTTTATATTAATCTAGTCGTAGTAAAAAAAACTTCAACGATACTTAATTACAACTAGTCTAGTCATGTATATTTCATGTATTAATTTATATTATTTTGTTGTAAAAAAGAAATTGATATTTGTTTCAAATAGTAGGACGCTAATTCCTACAAAATCACAAAAGTATTATATAAATAATTTTAATTGAAGAATTACTACTGATTCACATATTACAAAAAATAAATAAATAAGATAAGAGTGAATTCAGTAACAGACGAAAAATAATCCATCAATTTTCCACTAGGCCATCCGCTCCTACAAAATGTAAGGATATACGATCCACTTCAAAACACGAAGCAAATTGCAAACATTGCATCACATAAAAACATTCTTAGTCTTATGAAGGTCGGATCTCGGCTAGTCTGAGATCCTTGATGAATCAAGAATGGGGACCATATAAGTTTTGAACGGAACTGTTTATGTATGGGATGGTGCTTTTTATAGTAGGGTTTTAACTTTTAAGTCATTCTAGGCTGGCATGGTCCAGTTTGAATGTCTATTAGAAGATTACATTTGAACAGAAAACGAAATCTCTCTTGTGAAGAAGACAACGATGAACTCTCGAGATAATTGGGAAATAAGAATGATGTTTTCGTTATTGAAGATAAGCTCAATACATTGGGTTTATATAGCCTTGGTTTAGCACAACCGCATAACCAATTTATAGCTAACCGGAACAAACCGGATCACAATCACATTAACA